GGGAACGATTTCTTATACGGATTAAGTCTTCGCTTACGCGTCAATAGTACGAAATATATCGCCTTTATTTGACCAAAAATACTCACATTGCGAATCTTTGAGCCCTAACCGTTATTGCAGTAAATGATCACAGATGAAAAATATATTTTTTTGAATTTTAACTCCAGACAACAGTTCTTTCGCATGGTGAAAGAAAAAGTTCGTCATTAATGGCTAGATAAAAAATCAAAATTTGTCTGGAGAAAAAAATTCACCCTGATTGATACTTAGTCACTTTCTGCGAAGGTCGGAACAACAATTGTCATTTATCCCAAATTGGCTAAATTAGCAAAATTCCTTTTTGCCATTATTTTTTTTGCAAAAAATGATCTGATGCAAAATATATTGTTATTTTTGAGCTCAGAGAAACAATGACGGTACAGAAAAATTCCTCAAAATGGCCTAGTTAAAACGACGAGTTTCCGTTGAATAAAAGTAAACCACCCCAAGCATAAAAGTGGAAACAATAACAAAAAAACCTTAACCTATGCAAAATAAATGCAGATTTTCTCCACGAATATTTCTTCATTTCAGCAACTATGCTTCTGTATATGTTTTCTTTATCTCAGAAGAAATCAGGTTCCAGCGGGAGCAAATTGTGAGAGGGTTACTTTTATGTTTAACCTCTTTGTTTTGTTTCGTCTTTCGCAATTTTACAATAAAAAATACAAGATGACAGATAATGCAAAAAAACGTAAGAAAAAACTGTACAGAAAATCAAGTTTGAAAAAAATGACTCGATAGGCAGCTAACTGGTCTTTTTGATGTTTTTTCATAATGGGATGTTTTTTCTGATTGTGTCTTGGGTAAATGTGTAAATTAATAACCTGGTCTGTTCCCGTCTTGGAAACAAATTTATCATGATTATTGTACCTACAACGACAAGCTCTCATCTCCTAGTAGATTGTTTTTTAAACAATTTTCAACTGCGAAATTCGAAGAAAATAATAAATAAGCAATCACGTTAAAGCTCTTTTTAACATCAAAAATTGTTTATTACTGGGAACTTTTTCTGAAAAGTGTAAGTTTTATTCCGATACCTTTTTATTTTTTTTTGATGAGTGAACGTTAATCGCATTTGAAGCTAGTCTCGGGAATTACGCGTTGGACACCGATTACAGACACCGATTCGATTACAGACACCGATTCGATTACAGACACCGATTACGCGTTGGACTTAGCATTAAGCAGTTAATTCTATTTAATCCCACTGATGTTAACCTGATTTGGGATTCCAAATTCATCTGAGAAGCTGATGTTAAAACACAGTTTGGCATCTTCAGCTGAGATTTAATTGATTTTAGCAAAATTGAGCCCAAGTGAAATCACAGCGAATAATTTACTTTGAAATAACATTTGACTTCGCCCTACTGCTAACAAGTGATTTAAAGACAAGATTAGCTGGTTGCTCTGCAACTATCATAGGTCACAGGCTATTTTTTTTTTTGAAAAAAACTTTAAAATGAACGAATATTTTACTTTTGTTTTTAATTAAAAACAGTTTTTTCATTTTGTAGCCAAATACTTCGCCGTTTTTTGGGACAAAAGAAGGAGCGAGAGAGCGTCCAGGTCTAGTTTATCTAAGTCAACAGAAGATTTGGAAAAACGATCTAGGTATGACATTTGACTGGTAAATCTTTTCTTGGTTTACTCATATCTTTAGTCTAATTTAGTCTACTACTTGAAAACATCCAGCTGTTTACAAGAAAAACCTTTTGAAAAGTAGAAATCAATAACTTACCACGGACACAGCCGCTTAGTTTTAATGAACCTATAAAACAGTTTCATATGGCGAAAATTCAGGCCGATAAACTGCTCTAAAAAATTGAATGCTCGAACACTGATGAATCGGTGAAGAATAGTTTGGTATTTTAACTTAAAGATCTGAAACGACAGGTATCGCTCGAGCATCTGCATTATTATTGAAAGCACTGAATTAAACCTAAATGACTTCACAAAAAGTATACATGAGTTTCTCCATAAAAAAGTTATGGTTGAAAACAGGCCTCCCGTAGTTAACAGAGCTAGAGGCGAAGGAGTTGCAATATTATCTCGCGACAAGTTGTCTTTGAATAAATATAAGGTGGAGGTGCTCGATTTATGTTTCAATTTTCTCTACCAAAAAATTCGCCCGTCGCCACTAAATTTCGGTATAATCCGACTTTATCGACCAAATTTTGATATATTCGACTTTCTCGGCCGATGAAAAAAAGTGTTCAACATTGCTCGACCCAGATCACATAGGCATTGAGTTTCTCGACCCAAACTTGGTATGTTCCAACTTTCTCGACCCAGTTTTTTTCCTGAACATATTTCGACCCCGCATAGATCTTTTTCGACTTTCTCGACAGTATATAAGTATGTATTCATGAACGTTTTTTTGAGCAATTCTTTTGCTCAGTTTTTACCTGAAGTCTATGTTTCGAATGTGCTTGTCATATGTTTCGACATTCTCGACCAAAAATGGGCATAGTTTGACTGTGTTTGACCTAAGTTTTGACTTTCTAGACTATGAACTGACATTAACAAAAAAAACTTATAATATATACTTTTCAAATCATATTTGTAATGATGCTTGAATTGAAAATAAACTATAAGAAGTAAGCAGAAAACCGGCATCGAAAAATAATTTCTTTGAATAGAATTTTCATTTTTTTTTGTAAATCTGGACTGAGGAAAATTTGTTCGAAATTATTTTTTTATGCCGCAGGAACCGATAAATCTCCATTAAATAAAAGTTTCCCTCTGAAACTTCTTCTCAAAGGAATATAGCTGATTGTAATTTTCCGGTGGAAGCCTTTTCGGAGCATGATTTTTTTGCTCACTTTCCAATTCAATTTAAATTGAAATAATAAAAAAAATGTAAAAACGCAGTAAGTTGTGCTCGACCTATGTTTCAATTTTTTCGACGTAAGTTGGATATGTTTCGACTATGCTCAATCTATGTCCAGAATTTTTTGACCAAAACCGTTGTAACTCATTCTTCTGACTAAACAGCAGATCGACATCAACCCATCATTCTATGAGTTAAGTTGCGACTAATAGAGCTAAGTTACGTTACTTAGAAAACCAAGACTGGAATAATGATCAAGCCATTGTTTCTCTGGATAAAATTTATACTTTAACGTGTAAAATACTTCAACTCAATCCAAATTTCAGGTCTTGGGTACTATTTTTCACTTCGTTTAACTATTGTTTATACGCCGTATGAAAAACAAGCGGTAAATTTATCAGGTTCCCAACAAACAGCTCCCAGTTTTCATTTATTCAGGTTTCTTGTAATGATTACAAGGACTTTCATTTTGGGGCCAAAGTGCGTACTTTTTGAATTTTGAGCAAATTCCGCAAAACGTCAAAATCGGACTTTTTGCGAAAGTTGCTACATAGCTAATTTTGAATTCTATGAAAATTAGCTGAAACACTGTATTGCTCAATATCGCTCCACCAGCAGCTTGTTTTGCGGAATCCGCAACAGAATTGAAGGAAACTGGAACACTTTATGAAATTCACAATCAAATCATAATATATGGGTTCAGTAAAACTGCGTTGTCGCGTAATCCAAAAATCTAAGCTTAATCCACAAACTGTAAGCAATCTCTGCAAATTATAGACAGAATCCGGAAACTGTAAGCAGATTCTGAGTTTTGAATGTGGATTCCTGCAACATAAACAGTTAAATCTTCAAACTAACAGATCCTAGCTAAACTCCTAAAATTTAAAATGCAAACGGTTAAGCTGCAGTATAAAGGATATAGAATAAAAGCTGTAATTAAGCTGTTTGATATTCATACTGAGTTTCAGGACAACGGATGAAATGATTAATATCGATAGAGGTTTTCAGGCATCAGATAAAGTGATTAATTACCCGATGATGCCAAAATATCCTTTGGTAAACCGTTGGCGCCTTGTACAGTTTTAAACGCCAAATTCAACATTAATTTTGCTTATTTGCTGTGTTTCCCAAAAACAGCTTGCTGCGAAATTTTGAAGGGCTATATCCAGAACTTCATCCAATCAAAAGTTTAAGATTTGTTCGTGCATTCCATTGACAATGGCTACATCCTTTCTTTTAAATTTCGCATTTGCTGGATAATATAAGCTTCTATTTGTTGATGCATGAACTAAGTTCGGTGTAATAAAAAAAATAGCTGAGTCTACTTACAATTTTCGGAAATCATTTACTTTGTGCAGATTCCTTCTATTTGCGGAATTCGGAACAACTAGCTATATTTGCTGGTTGCGGAATCCGCAACAAAACTAAATTGCCAACAAAATTTACGTAATACCAGTTTATACGTGTAATCCATGTACATTTTGGAACAAGTTTAAATATTTCTCTCTGTGTTCCAGTGACATACAGACACCAACTTTTGCGCGTATACAGTGTGCAGTTTGGGCTCGCAATATGTCACGAAAAGTACACTTCTCTGAAAAAACGTGTGATTCACTGTCTAATTAACGCATCAAAAGCAAAGTTCGTTGGTACTTTTTTTAGCCAAATCTTGATAAATAGTTTATTCAGTCTTGTTCTGAAATTTCACTCCGGTATCTTATATAGTTGCTGAGAAAACAATAAAAAGGTGAACAAAACTTTCGTTTATTTGCTCGGTTGAAAATGGAAAGCTACTTCTCAGAGGTAAGCCAACAAATTTAGGCTAGTTGATTAATTTGGAAACTTTTCGAGTTATATGCTAGTCGAGCATCACGCTCAGACGAGCGGTCGCGCATAGTCCTTGCCTGATCATTTAGAGCGTTTAGAGTGCTTCTTTAAAAAAAACTTTGTACTCTGTTTTTCTGATTCACTAACTCGTCTCCTTTGTCGATTATTAGATCAGAAAATAGCTATATCAGAATCTAAGAAACATGCACGGAATAAGTTTTTGAGAAGAGAATTTTTAAAATAAAGGGCAGGGTAAAATTTATCAAAAGATTAAGAAAATTAGGTTATAAATGGCACTTACCGCTTAATGTGTGAATTTAGAAACATCTCATCTTTTCAATGGCTTCTTTTTTCTCTCTCTTTGCTTTGAATGCAAATGTTTGCGATCGTTCAGTTTTTATCCTAAAGGAAAGATAACAAAATATGGTAGCAGTGGCGTCAGAAAATAAGGATAAATTTTAACTTAGCAAGGGGATGGCTTTATCTGGCTTGACTGCTGCGCAGGGCCGGATATATCCAGAGTTGCGCTGGGAATTGAAAGGAAATGGAGGTAAAATTTAAAAAAAAACGGAGAGAAAAATAAACGCTGATGATGATAGATGTGTAATGAAGGTAAGCAATATAATCCAGAAGGTAGAAGAATCAGCCTAGTCTTAAAGAATAAGAGCCGGATATTTTACCCCCATTGCTATGGTTACTCCCAATTCAGATTTCCCCGTACCAATTTTATAACCGCCCTACTTGGGATTTTTGAAGATCTGCACTGTCAATAAAACATAAAGTTCAAGCTAAATTTAGGAGGCAAATGTGCGTTATTAACGTTAACAAAAAAAAAGCGTTCAAGTTCTTTTTCGCTCTTCAAAACAGTGTTGAACAAACATCTTGAAGAAAAAATGTAATCAATGATGCGCAAAGGACAATTTGCTGTCAAACTAAAAAAAAAAGAAAACAATTTTCAATGCTTTGTTATGAAAACAGAACGAAACCTTTATCTTTCGAGAAAATATGGAAATTCAATTTTCATTTCCTCTTTCATTTTTTGCTAATAGTTCGCCACGAAAGCATTAAATTATTTTTAAAATAAATCTTTCATGTATATAAATTGATAAATTCAAATTATCTGGAGACCAAGGTTTTTTCTGTCGACCAAGTAACTTAGCGATATGATGGGAATAAGCGATGGCAAAAGGAATTAAATTTTAAACTGAGTTATAGTTAGAACAAAGATTCCAAGGAAGGTTCCTGATTACCTTCCGCTCCTTTGTTCTCTTCTGTAGGTGAGCGGCGTGCTTCAAGCCCGGTTCGGTTTGACTTCAGGAAATCGGAGATGAATAAGAGATGGCAGATTTTCCAAACAACTGCCCAAATTTTGCGCCTTATAGGAAGTCGTTATCCCTTTTTATGATAGAGGTTGGAAGAATGTTAGTCAAAACGCTATCTATCCTTTCTGATCGATCACTTATTATTCAAACAAAATTTGCTGTAATAATGGCAAAAAGTTTGATGGTAAGACGATTTTTTTTCAAAAATCAAAGAGTAAAGAAAATGTAAATCGCAGATGCGCGCGGTGATTTACTAGAGGAACGAACTGCTTTTAAGGCTGAAAAATTTGCATGCAAATGACGCGCTTTCAAAACATAAATGCAACAAAATTACGTTTTTGCTTTGTTTGCTCATTAACAATTCTGTTCACATTCACCATTTGTTTTCAGCAAGCAAAAGCAGGAATCGAAAAACGACAAGGTCGAAAAAAAGCGATCATTTTCGAAATAAAAGCTGACTAAAAAATCAACTTGGATTCTCCCAGGGTATTTGCCTTGTGCAATGTAGTTACTTCCAATTAAATTGACAAAACTTGACTTTTTGGGAATTAGCTGACAAGCAAGTTGACGTAGAAAAAATTTCAACAATTTAAACTCAATATTAAATTTTATTTATGCAACTATTTCTCTTATGTTATTGTAGTTTTTTTATTTCATATCTCATTCTTATCAAAACTTAATTTGTAATCAATTTTTCTACAAAGACTGACTCCTTAGTTGAGTGATTCCCGCAGATAATTGGGTTTGTAAATTTATTGTTTTCTCAGAAAAATTTAACATTGGTCTATTTAATTGGAGACCATGAAGATTAAAAAATTGTTTAATTCTTTTGATTAACAAAAACTCCACGCTGAAAATTTGTTTAAAGTTTTTCTAAAAGATACCAAGAGAAACAGATCGGAATTTAAAAACGAAAACGTGTAAATTATTCATCCGACTTAATTGAAAATCGAAGAGAATTAGAACAGCATTTCCGAAACTCAAAAGCTACAAGCTTGCAAAACAAACTAACCTCAAATTTGATTCTGAATATTTCTTTATTTTCAAACGGCAATTCTCAAATTCATAAAGTTGAAATTTTCTATTGATGAAAACATGATTTACCCTCAATAACTCCTTATGAACTGCAGTCAATTAACTTTCAAAGAACGTGATATGAAATGGAGAAAAGAATAACAGGTGCTCATATAGAAGTTGCACTTTAGAATTGCCAATATCACGCCACTGCCACGTTGGCAAAAAACGGCATTTCAATTTTTTGGGCGACAATAAAACAATCCAATATCCGATACATTTCTCGTCGTTACAGAAATTTATAAAAAATCTAGTCTCACTTAGTAATTTCAATACTCATACTAGTAACTCAAAACGTTAATCACACGGTCTCTATCACAAAAGCTGCTCATTGTACATAATTTCTTTCCAACAGGTTATGAGACCAGCTTGAGATCCTCAGTGACTAATTGTTGAAGTTTTTCAAAGTTTGATAAACTAAAAAACAGATTTGAGACTGAAACTCAAATAGTGACTTTTTCAATTGAGTAACAGGAAGTTGTTATCCTTCACTTGCGCGCAGAAAGATTTCCCCTCCTAGAGCAACTGTTGTTTGGCATTCTGTGAGACAAAAGAAGGCCTTTTCAAATGCAGATGACGAAGCCCAATATGACAGAGAGTAGAATACCCTAAAGAACCAGCTGTCACTGAGAGACGCAAAAAAGAGATCTGCTGCTACTTGGCAATGGCACAAGAGTCTTCCAGCTTGATCATGATCAAGCATGGGTATGTCGATAGGAAGGGCCAACATGATGCTTAAGATTTTAGGAAAATAGTGAAGCTGAGGTTCAAGAGCAATAAGGCCATCACAGTTGTCACTGTGATGCGCCAGCTGGCACGCCTTCAGCTCAGCTGCATTTTGGAATAGCCAACATCACGCCAATATCATAAGCTTCTTTCAGCTTGATGTTGATCAAGCATGGGCGTGTCGACAGGAAGGGTAAAAACGATGGTCAACTCTTAGAAAAATAATCAAGCAGAGGCTCAAGAGCATTGAGGCCGCCACAGTTGTCAGTATGATGCACCAGCTGGCACGCCTTCAACTCAGAAAAAAAAGAAAAGTTGTTCAGTACTACATATGTGATCACATGATTTGAACACGAGGTCCAAACACGCCTGGCAAAAAGTGCCAGATTTGTTGTGCAACGAGATGTTATTGAGTGGCGTACCTCTCAATATGAATCCTTGGTGCTGAACGGAAGCTTCAATCCTGCTACTGTTTTAGTGGAAGTGCGAATCAAGCTAATCAATTACGAAGAAAGCCAAATTGAAGTAGAATGAAGAACAGCATATGGAAATTTTCATCTTCTCACCATGAAACTTATGATGTACAAGGTCAAAAAGACGATTTTTCAAAACTTGATGCAAACTCAAGCAAGGCGTTGAGCGTTCTTAGCGAACTTATTTTCCCACTTTAGAAGCAACGTAACTAGATGCTTTTGAAAATTTTTTGCAGAGATATATCAAACCATCGAATGATGGAATCATTATTAGCGAAGTCAGAAACTGGTGAAGGAAAACAATCAGTAACTTCTGAACTTAAAGTTGCTGACCAGTCTTTTCATTTGTTTTTCAAAAATTTCAGATCCAAAGAGAAGCAAACAGAAAGCATTTTCAGGAATTGCATATGCAGGCTCATCAAACACTTCGCTTCATACAGTGCTGATTTAAATTAACCGGACAGAACGCATTAAACTTGAAATTTAAAACGCATTTTTCTCAAATTGGGTTGAGTTTAGGTGAAAACTTATGTGACAAAACTTGCTTAGAATTTTAGCAGAATTAATATGGTGTAATTTGTTTTGCAAATTTCGGGTCCAAAATTTTACCCCAAAAATGGGTTATTTTGGCTTTTCTTAGTTAATCAAAAATTACGCCAAAAATACCCAGTCGATCACAGACATAATTATATCAAACTGTGCCCCTTACGTAGCCCAACAAACTTTAAGAAGGGTATAATCTCCAAAAAATTGTAAAAGTTAATTTATTTTTGTTTGGTAGACAAAAAAGGTCATTTTTACTATATAAAATACCAACTTTTTATTTAAAAACAATTTTTAAACAAAATACAATTTTTTTTGAGAAAATACCCTTCTTATGTTTGTTGAGCTACTTAAGGGGCTCACTTTGATATAATTATGTCTATGATCGACTGGGTATTTTTGGCGTAATTTTTGATTAACGAAGAAAAGCCAAAATGACCCATTTTTGGGGTAAAATTTCGGACCCGAATTTTGCAAAACAAATTACACCATGTTAATTCTGTTAACATTCTAAGCAAGTTTTGTCTTCATAAATTTTCACTAAACTCAACTCAATTTGAGAAAAACGCGTTTTAAATTTCAAATTTAACGCGTATGTCCGGTTAGTTTAAATCAGCACTGTACAAAAAGGGTGTAAAAATTTTAAACAAAGTGAAAATTTTAAACAAAAAATTAAAATTGCATATGAACACAAAAAAACTCAACCGATCCGACATATCAAGAATTTCACTAGAGCGCTACGGCAAATCCTACGCTCAAAACAGTGTGCAAGTCACACATTTTATAGAGCCCGAACTGTATAAGCAGACAATTGAGCAACAAGATGAATGGCATGTAGTAATGTGTAAAAAACCGATGCTTTAAATGATTGCATTTTTGTTAACTAGTTAACTAAACGCCGCGGGTACATAAAAAAATTTATAAAGAAACAATATATAGCAAAAGGATTTTGTCAAGTCGCAGGTCTCAAGTATTTCAAAACATATGCACCCATAAGAAAACTATAAACTTTTTGAACAACCTACTTTCAACTTTAAACTTAGAAAACTTTCAACTTAGATACTTAGATGTCAAGTCAGCATATCTTCATCCAAAGTTGAATGAGAAGAACACATTAAGCAGCTTAAAGTTTTTGAAAAGTACACCCAAAGTGGAACAGCACTTATGTTGAAGAAATCTAAAAACGGAATAAATTAAGCTGCTCATTGTTGGCATCAAAAACTACTAAATTTTCTCATTGGGCAAAAATTTCATAGAAACAAAAATGAAAGACTATTCTTTAATTTATAGGGCTGAGGTAACACTAAAATTTACGTTGTAAGCTGCGTGAACCATGTAAATTTATCAGGTTTTCTTGAACAAGATATCGAAGATTTGCAGACTTCATTCGAAAGCATTCTTCGAACTGATGATGAAAGAGAACTTGAGTGTTTTCTAGGAAAGCAAATTGAGAAATATTAAAGGCATCCACCCTAGAAAAAAGGCCCTCAAAAAATTACACAAGCAAGATTGTAAGCCGTCTAAAACACCAGCTGAATTAGCTTTAAATTTTGTTAAAAAATCAAAGAATCAGAAAACTCACAATTAGCGGAAGCAACATAGCATAGAAATATAGTAGGTGTCTTTTTTCCTCTCTAAGCAAATTAGGCCAGATGTCATGGGGACAGTAATTGTTCTATCTCGATTCATGAATTCACCTACTGCTGAACACTGGTAAGCCAAAAAACGAGTCTTGCTGTACCTCCAACACACGAAAAATCGCAAGACTAGATCGCA